TGGACCATAATGTTAGGGACTCAAAATTGACTTAAGATTTAAACATAGTGTAATGTTTATTCCTGTCTTCCATATTTGTCAGGGAATCTTAAGATTCTCTGTCAGAGTAAGAAGTTTTCTGGTGCTGTGTTGGGAGTGCAGGGCATAAGAGATTTCCATAAAAAGGCATGGGATTTGCTTGGAAGAACATGGAGGTTTTCTAACTTGGCAGTAATGAGTTAGAACTAACTCCCCTTAGAAATAAAAATTAACTTACATTCTTACTGGGAATTCTTTTGCGTGTGTGCTTTCTTGTGTGACCTATTTGATTTTTATATTTGTGTATGTGCCTGTGTGCATACGTTTGTAACCCATGGCATTTGTTAGGTGTAAATAAAATTTTCTATACATACTCTGTGTGAAAAATGGCTTTGGAACTAGAATGTCTTGCCATTTTAGTTGAGAAGCAGGGGCCAAATATGTTGTTGCAGAATACCCAAAATATTTGACCATCTCTGAGTTCTTTCCCCAGTTTCTGTTGCCCTAGAAAGGCTAGAGGCATTTGGGCAATATAAATGATCCTTGCTATATTAGGATTCTGTCTTGGAAGATACACATTTTTGGATTAGAGAGACAGTGAGTTCACATCTTGTTAAAATGACAGCAATCCCAGACTTAAGAGGCCTGGAAAGCGGGTAGGGATGTGGGCCTCCTTTTATCTGAAATATGTGCTCTTGTGTTTAGCTGTCAGTATTTTTCTTTTCATGGAAATGAAACCACTTTTTTTTGGGAGGGGAGATCCTCCTAATACAGATAGAGGTATGGGATGCCTAGTGTCCAACACAAACCTTTCCCACCTCACTCTACCTTTTAAAAAATGTGGTGTTTATTTTTAAGTGCTCACCCAGTTCTTACCTTTCTTCTCTTTCTTATTGGTTGATCTCATCCTCTGCTATGGTTTCAACGCTACCATCTTGACCAGCATTGTTGACTCCAGATTCTGTACCTCTAGTCCATTGGTTTCCATGGAACCTCCAGACTTGGCTTTTAAAGTATCTATTGTGTGACCTTACCTGTTCTTCCCATAGGAATCTTACACTTAATTTTTGCAAGAAAGTATTATCTTTTTTTTTGAGACAGAGTTTCGCTGTTGTTACCCAGGCTGGAGTGCAATGGCGCGATCTCGGCTCACCGCAACCTCCGCCTCCTGGGTTCAGGAAATTCTCCTGCCTCAGCCTCCTGAGTAGCTGGGATTACAGGCACGTGCCACCGTGCCAGCTAATTTTTTGTATTTTTAGTAGAGACAGGGTTTCACCAGGATGACCAGGATGGTCTCGATCTCTCGACCTCGTGATCCACCCGCCTCAGCCTCCCAAAGTGCTGGGATTACAGGCGTGAGCCGCCGCGCCCGGCCGTATTATCTTTTTTTAAGACCTCCTTTTGTATTTCCTGTCTTAATTGGAGGTAGGCTGTCAACCACTTGCTTGCTGAAGCTAGAGACCTAGAAGTTATCACTGACTCTTCTTTATTCCTCTTAGTAGCTTCTTACCAGTTATAGAGTTCTGTCAGTTTTATCCTCAGAAAAGCATTGCTCCTCTTCAGCCTTAGTGCTCCTATACAGGGCTGCATCGTCTCGCACTTGAGCTATTGCAGTAGCTTCCTAGCTATTCTCTCTGCCACTAGTCTCTCCTTTCTTCAGTTCATTTTGCATACTGGCTGTTGTTTTTCCAGAATACAAATCTAACATTAATTTTTAAAAATAACATTGTCTTCTCCCCATTACTTACTAGATGAAATAAAACGGCAAATGCTGAGCTATGTAGTATCCTTGGATCTTTTGTATGTAATTCTTTAGTGCATTTGCTTAAGCTGTTTCTTTTGCTTGGAATGTCCTTCTAAGCATTATAGCTGGAATATTCCTATTCAGTTTTTTACTTAGCTCTTCATATGAGCTAGTCAAAATCAGAAACGTATCCTAGAGTCTTCTCTGTTCCTCCATCCTTCCTCAGCCCTTTAATTTTGTCTTACATCAACTTTGTTCCCATCATTTTGTAGTTACTTGTTTCTTTCTCCTTTATAAGCTCCTTGAAGATGGAAAACAGATACTTTTCCTGTTTGTTTCCTTCACACCTAGTACAGAACTGGTATCTAGAAAATACTTTGCAAATGCTTGATTCAGAATAAAAATAATATTTGCCATTATAGCTGCTTTATAGTGTCCTCACTATGTGTGTGTATTAGTTCATTTTCATGCTGCTGATAAAACATACCTGAGACTGAGCAGTTTACAAAAGAAAGAGGTTTAATTGGACTTCGAGTTCCACGTGGCTGGGGAAGCCTTACAATCATGGCAGAAGGCAAGGAGGAGCAAGTCCCATCTTACATGGATGGTAGCAGGCAAAGAGAGAATGAGAATCAAGTGAAACAGGTTTCCCCTTATAAAACCATCAGATCTCTTGAGATTTATTCACTACCATGAGAACAGTATAGGAGAAACTGCTCCCATGATTCAGTTATCTCCACCTGGCTCTGCCCTTGATACATGGGGATTACTAAATTCAAGGTGAAGCTGGGTGCAGTGGCTCACTTCTGTAATCTCAGCCCTTTGGGAGGCCAAGGTGGGCAGATCATGAGGTCAGGAGATTGAGACCAGCCTGGCCAACATGGTGAAACCCTGTCTCTACCAAAAATTAGTCAGGCATGGTGATGGTGCTTGTAATCCCAGCTACTCAGGAGGCTGAGGCAGGAGAATTGCTTGGACCCAGGAGGTGGACAGTAAAGTGAGCTGAGATTGCGTCATTGCACTCCAGCCTGGGCAACAGAGTGAGACTCCATCCCAAAGGGGAAAAAAGAAAGTCATTATTTCTTCAAATACTACCACTTCTCCCCATTCCAGTTACATATATATTATACTGCTTGATAGCTTGATATTGTCCTGCAGTTCTAGTCTTTTTTTTTTCTTTTTCTTTTCTTATTACACCTATAACCCCTCTACCCTTGCTTCTTTCTTCCTTCTCTCCTGTCTCCCTTTCCCCTTATTCTCATCACATTTTAACTATGTTTAAATTTGGATATTTTCCATTGCTGTGTCTTCAGATCCTTTGAACTTACTTTCTGTGCTATTTAATATATTGTTAATACCATCCAGTGATATTTCTATTTCACATAATGTTTTTGAATACTGTAAGTTCTTTTTGATTCTTACGTCTACCATTTCCTTCCTCATTTTTTTCTTTAAATTTTTGAGCATATTTATAATAGCAGTTTTAGAGTCCTCATTGACTAATTTTATCATCTCGTTTCTGGGACAGTTTCAGCTGATTTATTTCACTCTGGTTTCAGGTCACATATTCTTTATTCTTCACATTCTATTAATTTTTTATTGGATGCTGGATATTGTTAATTTTATATGGTTGAGTGGTAGGATTTTTTTTTTCTGTTTCTTTTAAAGAACTTTGGACTTTGTTCAGACAAGCAGTTGAGTTACATGTGGATCAATTCCTTTTGAGACTTGTTTTAAGCTTTGTTAGGAAGCATCTAGAATATCATTTACTCTAGAGCTTATTTAGCTCTGCTACTAAGATATGAGTTTTCTGAGGTTTCTAGTGAATTCCCAGTTTTTCAGCATGGAAGACTTGTAGTGAGAACCATATGAACTCTGGGAATTGTTCCACCTGTAGATCTCTATTCATTCTTTGCCTTACCTTTTGAAGTTAGTCAAAGCTTCAAACTGTGTGCTGATCTTAGTTGTTGGCCACAGATTCAAGTGAATCCTTATGCAGATTTCTGGAATTTTATATGCATAGCTTCCACTTCTCTGGCACAGTTTCAAGCTCTGCTTGAGTTCTTTCTCCCTTTACCACAGTCTGAAAAGTGCTTCTAGGCAGAAGGCCAGAACAGTGTTAGGTCTCACTTTATTTCTTTTGCATCTCAGAAATCACAGCCCTACACTGCTTATTATCCAATATCTAAAAAGTTTTATATCTTTTTGTTCACTGTTCTAGCTGTTACTGTGGGTTGAAAAGTCTGTTTCTAGTTATTCCACCATGGCCATTGAAAAGTATTTCCTGTCTTTATGCCTTTCAAGATAACCATGAAGATAAATAAAGTTTATGTTCCTTTTATTTTATCTGGCTGTTTGGGCCTCTTGGCATATATTGCTAATAATTGCCTATAGTGTTCAGCAATTTCATCTGATCTCCTGTTCACATCTTTAATTATTTTCAAGATGACATTTTAAACGGTTCAGCTGTAATACAATAATGAACAAAATAGTACAGAATTACTGTAGGATATTTTAAGCAAATAAAATAGCATGTACATTATATTAAAGCTCGAGTGAATGTTTTTAAAAAGTGGCCAGGCGCAGTGGCTCAAGCCTGTAATCCCAGCACTTTGGGAGGCAGAGGCGGGTGGATCACAAGGTCAAGAGATCGAGACCATCCTGGTCAACATGGTGAAACCCCGTCTCTACTAAAAATACAAAAAAAATTAGCTAGGCATGGTGGCACATGCCTGTAATCCCAGCTACTCAGGAGGCTGAGGCAGGAGAATTGCCTGAACCCAGGAGGTGGAGGTTGCGGTGAGCCGAGATTGCGCCATTGTACTCCAGCCTGTGTAACAAGAGCGAAACTCTGTCTCCAAAAAAAAATAAAAATAAAAAATGCATAAGTTGTTTAAATGATAGCTTTGCAAAGAATTGGGTTTATCATTGTAGTCAGAAGATTGTTAGCTATTGAATTTAATTGTCTTCTTTTTTTATCAAAGATTCTTAGAAGTAATTTGAACATAATTGATGCCTAATCAAAGATGATCTTTAGAGAATTAAAATGTCTGAAAGTAATCCTATAAACTTACATTAAAATCTATATGGATTTTGCTGTGTAGCTTCTGTGGTTCCTTTGATAGTCTTACAGGGGAAAAAAAAAACAAAACCAACTCCTATATTTGATGTAGTAGTTGTACATTATTAGGCTGTTAGTGTGTTTCTTAATCTTTGATTTTTATTTTTTTGTTTTTAGATCGTCAGTATTTAAACATACCACATCATGCGTGAGTACAAGCTAGTGGTCCTTGGTTCAGGAGGCGTTGGGAAGTCTGCTCTGGTAAGTTAGCCACCTAACTGTAACTGATTAGTATAATACAAAAAGAATTTTGACATTTCCTTGCTTTCAGACTTCTAGACATCAAAGGGAAAAGGTGGCATTATTATATATCTGGTATGTGTCCCACAAGGGATAGGAAATCATTTACTAACCACAGATGTATAGTTGTATAATGTTGGCTCATTTATTATATTTACCAAATATTTTTTGGCTATCTTATATGCCAAGCACCAGTGTTTATGATTCAGAAAGGAGTAAGATTGTTCTCATTTTTAAGGAATTTACATTGTAGTGGGGAAAAATGATTATTACAGATTCTAGTGGGATAATTCCTTCCCTGCCTTCACCCTAGACTTACATGGAATGGAGGTCATTTTCTGTGTTTACGCTGTTTTAATTTAGTAAATAATTATTGAGCTTCTGCAGTGTCAGATTCTAGGGTCACAGAAGTGGACAAAAACAGTCTTAGTTTCTCACGGAGCTTGCATTATAGTGGAGGAGATGTAATAAATACACAATTAAACAAATAACTACTTGGTTATACTTGTGAGAGAGATACTCTGAAAGAAAAATACGGATGAATTTAGAAGAAAGGCAAGAGTGGATGTGGGAGACAACTTGGGCGTTAATACTGTATACCAGATCATTGTTTATGGAAGCTTGGATTAGGACCATGGCAGTGAAGAAGAGAAAAGTTGATGTTTGAGGATTGAATAAGCGGTAAAACTGACATAACTTGGTGCTAGATTGATATGGGTACTAGGAGAGAGGGAACTGTCAAAGATGACTCCCAAATTTCTAGTTTGAGCTACTAATTTTATGGATGGTTTAAAAAAAGAAGATAAACAGTGGAGAATGAGCTGTGAGAGTCAAAATTAAAGAGTCATGCCAAATTTTATGTTTGTGATATGTTGAAGTAATAAAAAAGAGAGGCCTGCAATATGATTTTGGGTGCCATCAATATGGCAGTGATACTTAATTTCATTAGAATTACGTTACTGTTAGGCATGTAAATTAGTACCTCTGTCGAGAATGTTTAAGATTATCTGTTGTTTCAATGGCATATAACTTTCAATTCAGTGATTCCCTGTCTAAAAATGTAGCCCACATATAAGTTCACATGTGCAAAATGACATGGTCAAGAACATTTTAATACATATTCAGAGTAGAACACAGCCACGAGGAAGAATGCAACAGCTCTTTATGTACCAATATGCAATGATACTCAAAATGTATTATTAGAGAGAAAAAAAGTACTAAACAGTGTAGACCATAATATTTTAATATAATGTTTTATATTTTAAAAAATGTAGGCTGAGGGGAGATACCTGTAAAATCATAGAGTATCTCTGCAAGGTTAAACAAACTATGGATAACATCAGTTACTTTCTTGGAAGTAGGATTAGATAACTGGGAACAAGGGTGGTAGATAAGCTTATTTACTACTGCATAGCATTTTGTGTCTTTTGAATTTCGTCCTGTGTCCATGAATTAGCTTTTCAAAAATAAATAATTTTGGAAAAAATCCATCGAGGTGAAAGAGGTCTAGACAGATAGTAGAGAGAGAAGAGCCCAGACTGAACTCTGAGGACCTCTTTCAACCTTTAGAAAGTGGGTAGGATTGGCGGGGTGCGGCGGCTCACGCTGTAACCTCAGCACTTCGGGAGAGGCGGGCTGATCACAAGGTCAGGAGATCAAGACCATCTTGGCTAACATAGTGAAACCCTGTCTCTACTAAAAATACAAAAAAAATTGCCAGGTGTGGTGGCACGCATCTGTAGTCCCAGCTACTTGGGAGGCTGAGGCAGAAGAATTGCTTGAATCTGGGAGATAGAGCGAGACTTTCTCTCAAAAAAAAAAAAAAAAAAAAAGAGAAAGTGGGTAGGTTTGGAGGATATAGAATAGACGAATATATCTTTACTTGATTGCTCAAAAGTCAGGTAAAAGCCGGGCGCGGTGGCTCAAGCCTGTAATCCCAGCACTTTGGGAGGACGAGGCGGGTGGATCACGAGGTCGAGAGATCGAGACCATCCTGGTCAACATAGTGAAACCCCGTCTCTACTAAAAATACAAAAAAAACTAGCTGGGCGTGGTGGCGCGTGCCTGTAATCCCAGCTACTTAGGAGGCTGAGGCAGGAGAATTGCCTGAGCCCCGGAGGCGGAGGTTGCGGTGAGCCGAGATCGCGCCATTGCACTCCAGCCTGGGTAACAAGAGCGAAACTCCTTCTCACCAAAAAAAAAAAAAAAAAAAAAAAAAAAAAAAAGTCAGGTAAAAAGGAGGAAAGAGGTGATCAGAGATGCGCATAGAGGTAGTTGGATATGATAAAGGAAGCAGCTTTAGTCAGGTAATGTTTCCATAATCATAGTGTGGTGGGTTGAAGAGTAAACGAGAGCTGAGGAAATACAATATAGACACTTGAGGAAACTCGATTATGAGAGGGAACAGAGAATGGGGGCAGAAGCTGGAAGGATATTGGGGTTAAGGGAGGTTTTTGCTTTTGTTTTAGAATTGGAGATAGTAAAGCATATTTGTATGCTAGAGATGCTGGAGGCAATTCCTCTCCCCTGGAGAGGAAAATGAGGATACAGGAGAGGAAAAGAGGAGATGATCCAGTACAAAAACCAGAGGAATAAAATTATAACCTATATGAATGAATGAATGAATGAATGAATGAGATACCCCTGAAGATTAAGACAGAGGGTAAGATTCAGAGGAGTAGTAAAACATTACTTTTAGTAAGAAAGAAATGAGAAGCATTGGATTGTTTTGCATTCTTGTAAATCTTACTAATGTCTGGCTTATAGAAGGCACATGGTCTTATGCCTGCTTCTGTATCCAGTCTCTTGCAATAGCACATGATCTGTACCCTTTGGAAGATTTCACTGTAAACTTAGGAGAAGAAGAGTACATCTTAGTATTGTTAGGAAGATGGTGTGACCTCAGGGAGCCTCTGCCTTGGACTGTATTTTGAGAACCTCTGTTTTAGCCTAAAGCATATTAGGAAGCCATACTAGACTGCCTTTTCTTTAAATTTAAAAAATTTTTATTTCGAATCAGGGTCTCCCCCTGTTGCCCAGGCTGGAGTACAAATCATTACGCACTGCAGCTTCAAACTCCTAGGCTCAAGCAATCCTCCCATCTTACCCACCCAAGTAGCTGGGACTCAGGTGCATACCACCAGCTCTGGCTACTTTTTAAATTTTTTGTAGAGACGGTCTCACTATGTTGCCCAGGCTGGTCTCAAATTCCTGAGCTCATGCAATCCTTCTGCTTTGGCTTCCTGAAGTGCTAGGAGTACAGCATGAGCCACTGCATCCAGCATAGACTGCTTTTTATGTTTAAATTATGTGTTGTACTTAGAAGATGAGGTGATTAAATCTTTGATAAAAATGATTAAAGTTTTTGATGTGATTATATCCTGAGTTGCCTTTGAATAATAGCTTAGTAGGAAAAAGAAGTTTGTTTACTGTAACTCTTTAGCTCAAGCTAAGATAGTATATCAAATATTCCTCTGAGTAATTTAAGTGTAGGTAATCTCAGTCCACATTCTTACCCTTGCTTTTTAGGTAATAATGTACCAGACCTTGTTTTAAAGTTATCTAGCAAATATCTTAAAAACATCTTCTATACTTTTTTTCACTTACTGAATGATAAATATGTATTTTCTAAAATATGCGTTTAGATAAATAAGTATTTTCTAATATGTGCTTTTAGATACCTTCAAGATAAAAGTAGGTAATATCTGAAAAGGCTGAGTGGGCAATATTTTCCAATGGAGAAAGTAAGGCTTTAGAATCAGGAAGATGTATGTTTGAATTTCAGCTGGCAAATAGGAAGAATAACTATTTCTCGGACAAATATGATATTTGAATGTGGTTATAAATTAAAAGTGACTAGCTCAATGTCTGGAACATAATAGACATTCAGTAAATTTAAATTTCCTTTTCTCTTTTTTTATCCACAATTTAGAAAGGCTTTTAAAAATTTAAGCCAGAAGCTGCTTGCAGTCCCAGCTACCTGGGAAGCTGATGCAGGAGGATCTCTTGAGTTCAGGAGTTCAAGGCCAGCCCAGGCAACATAGCAAAGACCCTGTGTTTTTAAAAAAAAAAAAATTTAGAACCTTCGTCACTCCATTAAGGGCAGAGGGCATGGTATAAAAGTTATTATAGATATATAAAGGGGCAGTAGGAGTTTAAATATTGATTATATTTTATTCTCTAATTCAGATATGTTATTTGCATCCTTGTATTTTAAAAGTTAAAGTAATTAACAGTGTATTGTCAGCATCAGTATTGATGACAATTTTTAACATGACTGCCTCCTTTCATAATAAATTTACTCTTAGTTGTGGATATATCCTTATATTGAAAGATAATGATGTTATATTTTGCATTTATGTGTTTACCCAGAATTTTCACATAATTTCAATTAATCATTATAACTTGTGAGGTTAAGTAACATTCAAAGGAGTTCTTTAACTTTTTAATATTTCTCTTGTTTTTTTTCCCCCTTAGACAGTTCAGTTTGTTCAGGGAATTTTTGTTGAAAAATATGACCCAACGATAGAAGATTCCTACAGAAAGGTAAAATGTGAAACTTGAACACACGTGCTTACAAGTAGTTCCTTATGATGTTAAAATTTGATCTGTAGATTTGCTTTTTGAAAATAGTTTTAAGAAATGTTACAGGTATTGTGTACCTATTTTTAAAAGTTTCATCAAGATAGAATATTTCTTACAGAATACTACTTCGATATTCAGAGCTCTGTGTTCTGTTACCGATTAGTGATTTATTTGTTCCTTAATGTGGACATTTTCCTGGTGGGGAATTTTAATATAGAAAAAAAATGCATATAAATAGTAGGTGTGTTTTCAACTTACTCTTTTGTTACCAAAAATTAAGACCATCTTTATGCTTGAAGTTATCCAGTGACTGAAGATTTTTATTTTTGCTTAGTTTTATAAGTTTAAAGATATTTAACCTTTAGATTACTAAAAAATTGGAGTCTGTTTAATAGTATAGTGGGGTTGCATGCCATACATTTGTCAAAACCCATAGAACGTACAATTACAAAAGCAAATCCTAATGTAAACTGTGGACTCTTGCTGAAAATGATGTATTCATGTGGGTTCATCAGTTGTAACAAATGTACCATTCTGGTGCAGGATGTTGATAGTGGGTATGTATCTGTGGTGGCAGGGAGTATGTGGGAAATCTCTGCACCTTCCCCTCAATTTTGCTGTGAAACTAAAACTGCTCTAATAAATAAAGTCTATTTAAAAGGGGAAAAAATTAGGTACCTGATCTTGACAAAAAATATTCTACAGAAGACCAGCTAGAGTTATAATTCTACCCCACCCAATATATTTGAGAAATAAAATAATGAAAAATTTCCACAACTCTAGCTGGTCTTCTATAGAATATTTTTTGTCAAGATCAAGGATAGTTTTAAAAAAGATTAAATTTTAATGGCAAATAATTGCTTTTGAAGATGTTTTTAGAATTTACCTTTAATAGTGCTCTAATTTTGTTGCATTAATTTGTTAGTTCATTAAGCACTACTAGCAGAGCAGCTTCACTGTCTTCAAATTGGAAACAAAATTATGCTCTAGATACATCGAGAAACTATAGTCCTAATTGATTATTGGCTGAACATTCCCAGTTACAAATTTTGCAGATTACCACACTTGTCCCATAGTGGTGGGGTGGATGGGTTTATGGTCCGACCAGTGGTGCTCCTCATTAATGTCTGATCTGACACAGAGGCATGCTTTTCATCAGTGTCTGATCTGATACAGAGGTAGAGTTTAAAATAGTCTTTAGGTTAGCACATTTATTTTTAGAAGACAGTGTTGTCCTACTGAAATTTCCCCAAAATAAGTTCCTAGTTAGAGCTTTAACTACAAAGCAAGATCTGTGCCTAAAATTCTAAAGGACTAACGCTTCTTAACCCCTTTATTAAAAGTTTTCTAAACAGCTGATAGTTGATACTTTCTTTAGACCAACTTCCTCTTCTTTTATAAGACCAGTGAGTAAATGGAACTCAGTGTATAAAATTTCATCTTTTACATAGAGCTTTTCTAGAAAAGTGCCTTTTTCTTAAAGTCTTGAGGACTGTGTGAGCTCAGTGCTATTTATTTTAGTACTCCTGTGTTTCTTTTATGTCTTAAATTCAAATTTTACTATGTTTGTAATTTTCTGCATATTTTAGTAAAATTTTAACAACTCGAGCATGCTAAGTTGGCAAGATTTTCTTTACCCCAAAGTCTTCTTGTGTGCATTTTGAACCATTTAATATTTTTGTACTTAGTTTTATTTGGAGATAATATAAATAACACATAATACTTTTTTCTGTTGGAACTATACTTGTTTGTTGAAGTTTTTCTTGAATTTCAAAATACGACTTTTGCCTGTAATAAGAACAAATAAGAATCATTACAGAGGTCAGAAAATATCTAAACTCAGCATTAACCATCATGGCTTCTGTAATATTAATAGATTGTCCTTCAGACCTCTGTTCTTTATTGTGGTACCAAGTTTACTCCCAGCCATTATAGCATATTGCTGGAGAAAGGCTTTGTATTTGTTAATAGATACTTTGATAGAGAGGTGGGAAGAAGACAGAATGACATTTCGATGTACTTTAAAATTTTTTTCTTTTTTTGCCCCTACAGCAAGTTGAAGTCGATTGCCAACAGTGTATGCTCGAAATCCTGGATACTGCGGGGACAGTAAGGATGTTTTCTGGTTTTTTGATAGATTTTAATTTGTGAGCAGGTTTTGTCATCTGAATAATTCTGAGTAAAAGTAATTCTGATTAAGAAGAAATTACCTGAACGTAGGGATTCTTAAGTGTATGAAATCAACTGTGATGTAGTTAATGCTCACACATCACAAAGCTCACCTAGACAATCTCTGTGTTGGGCTTCTTCTTACATTGAGGTAGGGATTATGCTATCAGTGATCTTTTTAAATGTATTTTAAAATTAGAATTTTAGTTAATATTTGTATTTCTGTGGATTTAAATAAGACCTTGTCTCTTGACACTGTAGTCATTTAATTTTTTATAATTTTTTCTTTTCACTAGCATTTTGACATCTCAAGGGGCTGGTGACAGATATGTGTTTTCTGAGGAAAGCAAAAATCTTCCTCAGAAGATTTAGGATTATTTTGAACCTCCTTTTTCTAATCTTATAAATGAGAATAATGACATTAGTACATTATAAGGTGTTTGTGATAAGCAAATGAGATAATTATAAATCATTTGGCATGTCTGTTATACAGTATGGAATTGTGTATTTACTTTTATTCTTCTTAATCTTCATTAATACCATCACCTTTACTTATTTTTTGAGATGTAGTCTCACTCTGTTGCCCAGGCTGGAGTGCAGTGGCACAATCTTAGCTCACTCACTGCAACCTCCGCCTCCCAGGTTCAAGTGATTCTCCTGTCTTAGCCTCCTGAGTAGCTGGGATTATAGGTGCATGCCACCATGACCGGCTAATTTTTTGTATTTTAGTAGAGGCTGGGTTTCACCGTGTTGCCCAGGGTGACCTCAAACTCCTGAGATCAGGCAGTCCACCTGCCTCAGCCTCCCAAAGTGCTAGGATTACAGGTGTGAGCTACTACACCCAGCCTTATAATTTTTTTATTAATAATGATGGTTTCCAATTATACTGCCACACAAAATACATACGTTAAACAATCTTTGCTTTTCTTTATTTTTCTCCATACGCATAGACTTGATGCATTAGGCAATACCTAGCTTTAAAATGGATGAGGTTTTTTTTGTTTCTTGTTTTTCTTATGATACAGTGTCTTGCTGTCACCCAGGCTAGAGTGTAGTGGCGCAGTGATAGCACACTGCAGTCTCCTGGGCTCAAGCAATCCTCCTGCCTCCGCCTCCCAGGTAGCTAGAACTACAGGCATGTATCATCACTCCTGGCTAATTAAAAATAAAAATTTGTAGAGGTGGGTTCTCACTGTGTTGCCCATGCTAGTCTCTCAAACTCCTGGCTTCAAGTGATCTTCCTGCCTCTGCTTCTGAAAGTGCTGGGATTACAGGTGTGAGCCACTGCGCTTGGCTGGTATGCGTAAATCTTATAAGTTGTTTAAAATTCAGCACAAAGTTTTTCACTATAATTTTTATAAATGTTGGAAACATTTCAGATAGTTCAAAAAAAACATGCAAGCAAATTGGAGTGATTATATAAACAATATAGCACTAATTATACTACATTTTTCCAATCTTTTCCCGGAAAATGGATCTTAACTCTTACCAGGGAGCGTTGCCCTCATAGCAAACTTCTCGTAAAGGCCTTCTGAAACTACATCTTTTTTTTTTTTTTTTTTTTTTTTTTTTTTTTTTTTTTTTTTTGAGACGGAGTTTCGCTCTTGTTACCCAGGCTGGAGTGCAATGGTGCGATCTCGGCTCACCGCAACCTCCGCCTCCTAGGTTCAAGCAATTCTCCTGCCTTAGCCTCCCGAGTAGCTGGGATTACAGGCACATGCCACCATGCCCAGCTAATTTTTTTGTATCTTTAGTAGAGACGGGGTTTCACCATGTTGACCAGGATGGTCTCGATCTCTTGACCTCGTGATCCACTCGCCTCAGCCTCCCAAAGTGCTGGGATTACAGGCTTGAGCCACCGCGCCTGGCGAAACTACATCTTATATCAGCTGCATCAAGCTGTCTCTCCCTCTTCCCACCCTCCTGCTCCCTAATGTTTTTAGCATCTGAATCAGCAAAATTCCCCTTTGTTTCCAGAAACCCCAATAGCTAAAAAGAATACTTTCTACTTTTTTTTTTTTTTTAATCATATCCACAGTGTACAGGCATTCTTTCTTCTTTCTCTGTCCAGATTGTAAGAAGGAAGTTCTCCATCACAGAGATCTTTACTTTGTGCTATCCAGTATTGTGTCTGTCTCCCATCATAGCACTCAACATGCTGTTATAATGGCCTGTTTGCTTGTCTGTGTCCCCAGTGCCTTGCATAAAACTTTGCAAACAGCTGCTGCTCATTAATCTTGTCAAAATCACTCCTTACTCTGAAGATTTTTGCACGCGCGTGCTCTCTCTTTCTCATGGCTTCAGTCAGAATTCTTAGTGATTTTACTATCTGTGTAGAATCTATATGGATTATTATAGATGATCTACTACCCTGACCTGGCCTGTCAGTTCCTCGATGTCTGTCGTACTTTTAAGCCATTCATACCACGGTTTTACCCTAGACTGTGTGATTACCAATAATACTTTCTTAATCTAATTTCCAAGCATCTTATCGTCCACTACTCACTACTTCTTTCTTTATCCATCTCACTTCCTCTTTTTGTTTTGTTTTGTTTTTTTGAGACAGGAGCTCTCTCTGTCACCCAGGCTGGAGTGCAGTGGTATGAACATAGATCACTGCAGCTTTAAACTCCCAGGGTCAAGAAATCCTCCCACCATAACTTTCTGAGTAGCTGGTACTACTACAGGTGCACACCACCACACCTAGCTTTTATTTTATTTTATTTTATTTATTTTCATAGAGACAGGGTCTTACTATGTTGCCCAAGCTGGTCTTGAACTCCTGGACTCAAGGGATCCTCCTGTCTTTGGCCTCCCAAAGTGCTGGGATAACAGATGTTCACCACCGCACCCAGGCCATCTCATTTCTTTTAGTGCCCTTCAACTTCATTGCCATCTGTAGTCCATTTATCCTAACATCTTTTTATTATCTTTTCTATCTTGAACCCCCTCTGCATACAGCTTCAGGTTCACAGTCCATCATTTATAATTCTCTTAAATATATCCTCAACTCCCTTGACTTTTCAGCAGCCTTTGACTCAGTTCATCACTGCCTTTTACTGTAAAACCTTAATTCATTTGGCTTCCAAGAAACAATACTAGCCTGATTTTCTCCGTCTCATTGGTTACTCCTAAGTCTCCTTTCATAATTCCTCTTTATCTCCCCTACCTCTTAATGTTGGAGGGTCTCAGGGTGCAATACTTGCCCTTCTCTTTTCTAACAACACTGCTTTGGAGATATTTAATTGCATGATTTTAAATACAGTCTGTATGCTGATAAATACTAACTTTATAACTCTATCTGTATTAGGCTATTTGCATTATTGTAAAGAAATACCTGAGGCTGGATAACTAATGAAGAAAAGAAGTTTAATTGGCGCTTGGTTCTGAAAGCTGTACAAGTATAGCTCCAGCATCATCTGCTTATGGTGAACACCTCAGGAAGCTTACAATCATAGTGACAGGCAAAGGGAGTAGGTGTTTCACATGTCAGGAGCAGGAGTAAGGGGCGGGGCGGGGGGGGCACAATTAGATCTCATGAGAACAGAATTGTGAGGATAGCACCAAGCCATTCATGAGGAATCCGTGTCTATGACCCAAACATCTCCCAGAGGCCCCACCTCCAACATTGGCGATAACATTTCAGCATAAGGTTTGGAGGTGACAGACATACAAACTATATCCCCGTCCTTATTTCTTTTCTGAATGTCAAACTCCTCTTCTAACTGCCTCTTCAATATCTCTTATTGTGTGTCTAATAAGCATCTCAAACATAACATTTCCAAACTGAACTCCTGATACCCTTTCCCTGACCTGGGTCTTTCCAATCTTTCCCATCTCAGTAAATAGTACTCTTTTAGTTGGTTATGCCTGAAACCATGGAACCATCTTTGACTGCCTTTTTTGTTATATTTTGTGTACATCCAAACTCTCAGTAAACCCTATTGGCTTTACCTTTAAAACTTACCCAGAACTCAGCTACCACCACTAGAATCTAATGACACTATTTATCTCAGTCTACACTGTTGTCATCTCTCAGCTGGGTTATTTCAATAACCTCAAAACGGATCTCCCTGCTTTGCTTCCTGACACCCTTCAGATTGGTCTCGACACAGTAACCATTATAATCCCATTTAAATGTAAGTTGGATCATGTCTTCCTCAGCTTAAATTATGGGTTAAACTCAGAGTAAAAGCCAAAGTCTTTATTATATTTTCCTAAAAGATCCAAATGAGATAATCTTTCTCTCTGTTCCTTCTCTGGCTCCACCTCCTGTACTCACATACTAGGTAACAATGTTTCAGTGAATCCACCCTCCTTACAGCGTCTCATATACTTTAGACATGTTTCCTCTTGGGGCCTTGGTATTTGCTCTTCCCTCTGCATGGGGTACCGTTCCTTCACATAACCATGGAGCTTACTCCTTCACCTCCCTCAGATCCTTACTCAGTATTACCTGTGAGGCCTTCTCTGAGCTATAACATTTATTACCAGCTTGCATACTTGATTTTTGTCTGTCTCCATGTACACTTCTCTGGGGCAGAAATTTTTTTGCCTCTCACGATCACTGACAATATCTGTAGGACTACAACAGTGTCGGTGGATATTTGTCGTGAATGGATGAAACTTGTAGAATGTCTTTAAGAAAGAGGTTGACATTCTCAAAATGAGAGGACGCCAACCACTGCAGTTCTGTAAGGACTATTCTTAAACTGGATTTTCAGAACTCAGGCTGCCTATATGTTTATTCTTTTGATTTAATAAGAAGCAAAGACCATAATCTCTAGAGAACACCATAGAAATAGTATTGCTAGTATTTGTAGCACTTAACATTTGTAAATAAATTCATTTATTATATAAATATGTGGACAATGGCAGAATTTAATTGGTTACCACAGCGGTGCAGTCCTGGAATACAAAAACTTAATAAATGAAGAATCCAGGAAACTCCCAGTTTTTACATCTTTGACAAAAAATACCCTGGCAGCAGTATAAAAAGGTTAGCCATATTCCTGTGGTACACCAAAGACTAGAATTTGAAGCTGGGGAAGTGATTGAGTGGTAGCATAGCTAACTCCCTGGAATACAAGAAAGAGTTCATCAGCCAGGGTAGAACAACCAGAACTATTTTAGACGTAATGGACAAAACAGAGGTAGTGGTCATGGGGAGCAAGGAAGCCAGGACAGCAAAAAGCTTAAAAAACCTTGTGGATGTGGGTCTTTTATGTTTAATGCATCCAAAGGTAAAAAGATCTAAAATGTACAGTTTATTTAATATAAAGACCCAAGATATATACATTTTTAATATTCTACCACATGTGCTTTAAAAATAATATATACAAAATCCCAAAACTTTTTAAAAATAAGATTTTGTCTTGTATTAACATCGGTAGTTACAACATACAGTAATGATTGTCACCAAATAAAAGGAAGAAAACTTAAAACAAATAATTTTAATTTGGCATGACTGAATGTTAACAATTAGTACATTTAAAGGGTATAGATAGTCATCGCGCTATTCTCACATCTTTTCTAAAGGTTTCGAATGAGGTGGGGACTGAAAATACATGAACAAGCTCTTTTTTCTTTTCTTTTCTTTTTTTTTTTCCCAAGATGAAGTTTCACTCTTGTCACCCAAGCTGGAGTCAATGACATGATCTTGGCTCACTGCAACCTCCACCTTTCAGGTTCAAGCAGTTATCCTGCCTCAGCCTTCTGAGTAGCTGGGACTAGGGGTGTGCAGCAGTATGCCTGGCTAATTTTGTATTTTTAGTAGAGAGGCAAGGTTTCACCGTGTTGGCCAGACTGGTCTGGAACTCCTGACCTCCGGTGATCCGCCTGCCTCGGCCTTCCAAGGTGTTGGGATTACAGGCATGAGCCATCACGCTGGCCATGAACAAGCTTTTATAAAAAGAGTTTATTGACTATAAAGATGATAAAGTCTTGCTCTGCCATGAGAATAGCAAAAGAAAGATGAAAAAATCTGCTAGTAGAGATATTGATGCTGGATGATTAAGTTATAGTTCAGTATTGGTCTTATAGCTCAGATTGTTTACACTTGGGCAGTAGTTGTGTCATAAATGTGCAAATAAAATTATTTAGGATCAAAATTAAGATCTGTTTCTAAAAAATTATATACGGTTCTAAATCACACAAAAGCAAATTAAAATGGTTAAGAATTCCTTTTAATTCTCCAATTTATTGTCATAGGCGTCACCTAGAAGTCACCTAGAAAGTTGCTAGAAACTGTGTTATGTCTTTCTTGTTTTCTGTCAGGATATCAAGGAATAAAAAATGTAGCTCACTTGTAATTATTCTGTTTTAAATTGTTCTAGTATACATTCAAGAAATTTATATATTTATAATTGCATATTTTTTATCATAGGAGCAATTTACAGCGATGAGGGATTTGTATATGAAGAATGGCCAAGGTTTTGCACTAGTGTATTCTATTACAGCTCAGTCCACGTTTAATGACTTACAGGACCTGAGGGAACAGATTTTACGGGTTAAGGATACAGAAGATGTAAGTATTTTTTTTTTCTCTGTAAGATGTATTGCTGTCTCTTTGTGGTCAAATTAAAAAGTGCCTGTTTTTTCTCTATCAGTAGAGGATTTGGAAGTTATTTACCGCATGCCTGACAGAGCCCGTGTGACCAAAAATATTTTTAACTTTCAAAATTAACTTAGAAATTATGTGGTGAGATGTTTAGAAAATGAGGACATATGTGATAAAATACCCATTGTGCGATGGGCTAAAAAGGGCAGTAGAGGAAAAAGAGGAGTCAAAGAATACTTCATAGAAGTGGTACCCGAGTCGAGCTTTGAAAGGTGGTAGTTATGTCAGAAACAGTGTTCAAAGAACATTATTAAGATCCATAATGGTGTGTTTTTATTTCTAAAATTTTATTGGTATAATTCTTACATGCAGTTTTTTCCTTTAAAATTATGTTAAAGATTTTAGTTAACTGGATTTAAAATTTTTTTGTTTCAGAAATCTTAATTGTTGAATAGCATTGTTTTTGTGGTCGTGTCTTTTTTTTTTTTTTTGCAAAACAAAATGTGTATTTCATACATTTACCTCAGTTTTGAATCACAGAGAGTTCCTTTTCAGTTGTATAAATCAGAATTTAAAATTTCAATTGTACCTTTCTGGTTTTATGTGTACTAATTATTAATGGGAGCATATACATTTTCTCAAGGCCCTTAACCTGGGATAATATTATAGGCAGGAGGGATGTGTAAAATATGACTCATAACCAGCTGTAACCAATGAATGGTTTTTTTCCTTTTAATGACTAATTTATCCAAGAGAGTTTTGTTTTCATAGGCAATTATGTGCAGATTGAGCTCTGGTAATGTTAATCCTTTGTTCCATGTAATAAACGAAAAAAGATGGAGTTGTAGATGCCTCGTGTGTTTACTCTAACTCACAATAATTGCCTATTTTAGGTAGAAGGTCCACCATGTTCCTTAATTTTTTTTTTTTTTATAGTGTCCATCACCTCAAACAAATTACTTTGTTCTCTGGACACCTTTTAACTAAGGAAGTTAATACAGTTAGTTAACTGCCTGTTTTACTGGAAGTAGGGAGTTTTTGGATGGATGTAGCCAAGCATCTATAGTGTGGAGAAAGGAGGAACACATAGCTACTTTGTGGTTTTATTTTTATTGTTAATCCCCCTTAACATTTAATCTAAATAGATCTTCAAATCTACATGTCAAATGCAGAAGTAGAACCTGTTGTTAATATCTTTATCTTGCCACTGTTTTTGGTATCTGTTGTACCTGTGAGATGATGCACTTAAACCAGTTAGGCCGGCTGGGCGCAATGGCTCACGCCTGTAATCCCAGCACTTTAGAAGGCCTAGGTGGGCAAATTGACTGAGTTCAGGAGTTCGAGACCAGCCTGGGCAACATGGTGAAACTGTATCTCTACTAAAATACAAAAATTAGCTGGGGCTTGTAGCATGCGCCTGTAGTCTCAGCTACTCGGGACACTGAGGCAGAAGTATCACTTGAACCAGGGAGGCAAGAGGTTGCAGTGAGCCTAGATTGCACTTTTGCACTCCAGCCTGTACAACAGAGTAAGACTCCGTCTCAAAAAAAAAAAAAAAAAAAAAAAAAATTAGGCCCACAGACTTTATTTTTTTCTGTTTTGTAGGAGATTCCTTTTCCTTCAGGTTTTTCTACTTGAAATTCAGCTATTGGTAGTGGTCCACAAGAGAATTTGGGGATTATATTCTGTGTGTGTGTGTGTGTGTGTGTGTGTGTGTGTGTGTGTCAGGGTCTTGCTCTGTCACTCAGGCTGGAGTGCAGTGGTACAGTCATGGCCCACTGCGTCTACCTCCTGGGCTGAAGTAATCTTCCCACCTTAGCTCCCTGAGTAGTTGGGTGCCACTACAGGTGTGTGCCACCCTGTCCGGCTGATTGTATTTGAATTTTTTAGAAGAGACCAGGTCTCACCATGTTACCCAGGCTTGTCTCAGGCTCCTGAGCTCAAGCAATCTTCCTGGCTCAGCCTCCCAAAGTCCTTGAATTACAGGCGTGAACCACTGGGCCTGGCCAGGATTATATTCTTAAAATAATTTAGCATATCTATGTAGTAGGATCTCTTCCGTATTTTTTTGTCTCTTCTTCCTTCACCTCTTCCCCTCAACATACACTTTTTGTTACTACTTGGTGAAGTTTGCAATCTTAACTCATCTATTTCAGTCAGTGGCAGATAATTGCTTATTCATTAAAAAAAAAAAAAAAAGGCTAAGTAATGAGTATGTTATTGCTCATTTTATGTTTTTTTCTTCCCACAGGTTCCAATGATTTTGGTTGGCAATAAATGTGACCTGGAAGATGAGCGAGTAGTTGGCAAAGAACAGGGCCAGAATTTAGCAAGACAGTGGTGTAACTGTGCCTTTTTAGAATCTTCTGCAAAGTCAAAGATCAATGTTAATGAGGTAACCTACAACTGTTGGGCAGCACAAACAAGTGCCTTTTTAGTTTGCTTTAAGATAACAGCCAGACTTTGAAGAAAAAATTTTCATGTTTTAAGCAATCTTGATTCTATCATGTTATAGGAAACACTAAGTAATTCCTAGAAACTGTATATTTTAGCTTACATGAGGCCACTTTGATGGCTGTATGAGAACAGTTAAATTTAGCTTATTGTAAAAGAGGAAGCTAGAATTGAAGAATGTGGATAAAGTCCTGCTAAGCCTCTAAGTGATATGTGATAAAGTGGTGTGTAAAAATTGTTACATCACCCTTATATTGTAAGAATTATTTATCCAGATTTATATAAATAGGTCGTGAAGTCAAGCTGGAAAATAATATGTGGAGGTAGTCACACAGAGGATGTGACTACCTTCATGGGTATCACAGAATTGTGTTATGAGTGTTCCCCACCTTTGGGGTATGATTCAAAGTGGGTAATCTGTGTGAGTATGGACATGTACCTGGAATTCACTTAGACTGTTAGGCCTGATACAGCAGGTGCACAAGGCTTTTTTAGGGAGTGTGGGTGTGGGGTCACTGAGTTAAGCACTCCGCTATCTTGAAAACAAACCTGTGGACGAGAATACTTCGCATAATAAGCTGCATGCCTGGATGTAAAAGGCCAGTAGTTTACTAGTTTACTGGGCTCCTAAAAATTTAGTACAGTTTCCAACTGTCTCCACCAGTCAACCTTAAAAAGTTCCCTTGCTTTTGTTTACTTTACCGTAAGACTTTTTAAAAAATAAAAACAAAACAGAGTAGGCTTCTTTCCTGCCCCTGTTTTGCTTGCCATTTATAGCGTTACTCGTAATCAGTCAGAATTCAGATCACCTAACTACATAGGTGAGCGTGAGAGTGGGTTAAGTTATGAGTCCTCTGTTTTTGCTTGCTGTTCCCTCTGGCGTGTGGTTCTGCTGATCCCTTTTTCTTGACTGATATTATGCTTATAGACGATTATCTGACTTTTTTAAATGACCGAGTTACTTTAAACACCTGGCAGGTAAAAAAATTAAGCTTGCTTCAACTTCTGTATTTTACAGATAATCAAGAATGCCATTGCTTGCTTTTTTTATGTGAATATGTGAAACCATTTTTAACAAGTATATAAAAACAAGAAATTTATACATTTTATTTATTCAGCAAATACTAGCTATTATGTGTCTGGCACTGTGTCCGGCCCCCAGGTAACAGTCACCCAGACAGACACTATTCCTGCCGTAAAGAAGTTTGCACCCTACTGGGGGAACAAGTCTTTCAACAATAATTAAAGAAAAAAAAGTATTTTGATAAAGAATGTGTTAGAATTAGTGAATCTGTTTTGCTAGCAGAATGGTGATATGAGGTCACTATCTGTAAGATAATTGCTGTTAAGAAATGTGGCTTCTTGCTGTCCTTGTCCTTACCTCTGGAGACCCAACAACCAAGTTCACCAGGCTGCGGTGGGGCTGAGTTGGGCCTCGATCCAGTGCATAGGACTTCTCCCTTCGGGATCCAGAGGACAGTATACTATTTGTTTGTGAGAATCTACATGTTATTAAACTTCTTCCAGTCAGCAGAGATACTTTTTCATAGCAGTCTTGTTAAAGCAGACCGTTTATAAACGAGGGTTTATAAAAACAAACATAGAAAAACCATGAAATGAAATGCATTAGCCATCTCAAGAATCTTTACTTTTTGGAAAACATACAAACTTTATGCTTAGTTCTTGAGAGTGGGGAGAATGGACCAGATAATTTGAGTTTTTAAAAATATTTTTCTCTTTATAATCTGATAATCCAGCTAAAAGATGCCTTTGATAGTTAATAGTTGCTCACACAGCTTTTGCCTTGTAAATTTTTTTGTGATTTTCGAATGCCTGAAGTATAGAATGATACTTTCAAAGATTCACCTCTTGGCCTTAAATTTGAAAACATACAAGGATATATATATATATATATATATATACACGTTTTTAAAAACTCTTATTCACACCACTTTGCAATGTTCTGAAAGTAATGTATGGCTATACCAGAATCACAGTAGTCTTAATCAAGATTTAATTGTTCTTTGCTGAGGCTGGAATAGTAATTGGAATCAAGACATCCCAATTTAGGAACGGGAGAGGGATTGAGAAACTCTATTCTGTGTTCCCTTTAGATTTTTCTATAGTTCAGAGAGATGAGGAAGAACCTAGGCTGGGGCCTTTCAGCATTTCTAACCAAATATTATAGTTCGAACTTGCCCTCATCACTGAACCATCTGCTGCTGTGAGGTAGGCAATGTTTTCCAAAGAAATAATTTAGAATAATACTACAAAAATTAGTTACCTTTCTGTATAGTACCAGGAGCCAGAAACTGGCTAGTATGAAGAAACTGAAATAGAAACTACATGTAATTTTGATGAACTTACTGTTTTAGTTTACTTTTTTTTTTTTGTATTATAGCTTATACACTGAGTGTAGGGAACCAATGAAAGCCCATTTGCGGCTTAAGCACACTGAGTTCTTGAAGCTTTCAGAGTTTTGAAACAACTTGGACTTCGGAGTTGTAAAACTGCAATTTTGTTTGTAAATTCTGTTTTCAGACTTTCTTTAGAAATGAGATAACAGAGGGTTAAATGATTTGAAGAGGATGGGAGTGGGAAGAATGGAGCAGAAAGAAAAGAATTTAAATGAGTCACTTTTGTAGCTTTGGATAACTCATTCAGGTTTTTTTTTTTTTTTTTCTTTTTAGCAGTTTAATTTAGTCTTGTAATCTGGAACATTTAAAAAAGTAAATAGGTAATTATCATTTTAAAGAAATATAATTGTTTATCATCTATCTTAAATGTAGATCAATAATTTAAAAATATTTTACTCTTAAAATTTACTCAAAAGTTGTAAGAACAGTAGAAAGAATTTTTGTTTACCCTTCATCAGATTCACCCATTACTAAAATTTTGCCACTTGCGTACAGAAATCACACTTCTTTACTCCGAAATGTTTTGATGTATGTGTATCCTCAGATCAGACATTGTCTGACACAACCACAGCAACGGTTACTAGAATCATAAAAATTGGTGACACAGTTTGTTATGTATTATATATGTTTGTTATATATTCAGATTTTACTAGTCATCCCTGTAATGCTCCTTAAAGTCATCCATTTTTTAATATAATTCTGCAAAGAACTATTTATTCCAGATTAGTAACAGTAAGGGACTTCTGTGATAACTTGTTTTTAATTCCAAATCATTAGTAAGTGTTGTATTTCATAGCAAAGGTTATCTGTTTCTTGTTTTAATATTTGGCATCTGAATTAAAATTATCTGCTTTTCTAAAATAAGTAGCATTGTATTTTTATCTTTGATACTTTGCACTTTTCATCCAAAAATGAATCCACAAGATTTATTAACAAACATTTAGGCGCAGTGGCTCAAACCTGTAATCCTAGCACTTTGAGAGGCTGAGGCAGGCAGATCACTTGACCTTAGATGTTTGAGACCAGCCTGGGCAACATTGAGAAACTGTCTCTATGAAAAATACAAAAATTAGCTGGGTGTGGTGGTGCACACCTGTAGTTCCCAGCTATTTGGGAGGCTGAGGTGGGAGTATTACTTGAGCCTGGGAAGTGGAGGTTGCAGTGAGCTGAGATTGCACCACTGCACTTCAGCCTGGCTGACAGAACAAGACTGTGTCTCAAAATAAAACAAACAAACTAAAAACCACAAATATTTGTCATTTCAAATCAAGGATTAGCAGACTTTTTCTACTCTTTACTTTAACCAAAATTAATATTTTTTTAAAAAAGCAAACAAAAATCATGTGCCTCTGCATGTGATAGCTTGAAAGGGAGACAGTATCTCTTTTGTCCTATTTTAGACAAAAATGTATAACCTGAATCTAATCATGAGAAAACGTCAGCTAAACCTGAATTGAGGGAAGTTACTAGAGTTTATTTTTCAGAAATGACAATGTCCTGAAAGACAAAGGCCAAAGAACTGTTCCAGATTTTAAAAAACTAAAGTGAGAGGAAATAAAATGCAGTGTGTAATCCTGGATGGATCCTGTCCTTGGAGGGGGAAGTACATTATTGGGGCAGTTGACAAAATTGGAATTTGCTTTGTAGTTATGCAGAATAATGTGTCAATTCTTAAATGTCTTAAGTGCAATAACTGTAATATATTTATGTAAGTGAATATCTTTGATCTTAGGAAATACTTATTAAAGGACTTAATAGTTAAGATCTACTCTCAGATGATTCAGAAAATAAGTGTGTGCATGTGTGTGTGTGTGTGTGTAAAGTAAAAGTGGCAAAATGTTACTAATTGGTGAATCTGGGAAGAATATGCCAAAGTTGTTGGTACTATTTTTGCAACTTTTCTGTAGGTTTGAAGTTTTTACTATTTTTCGCTACCAGTTCTTACTCTTGATTTGATGTTGGATACCTAGGAGTAAGGGTGTTTCCTTCATTATAAATAGGTAAGTCCTGCTTTACCCTGAGTGAAAGTCAACAGAACCGTCTAAGAAACCTGACTTTAAAAGAAAGAAGCAGAATGCAGATCTAAGAGCAGAATAATTCTTACCAGAATTGTTTTGTGGAAAAAGGCCTTAAAAGTTGGTTAAGTACTTTTTTTCTTGTTTTTAGATATTTTATGACCTGGTCAGACAGATAAATAGAAAAACACCAGTGGAAAAGAAGAAGCCTAAAAAGAAATCATGTCTGCTGCTCTAAGCCCATAGTCAGCAGCAGCTCTGAGCCAGGTAAGATACTAAAAGCAGAACAAGTACCTTTCTCATCCTTTTATTTTGTTTTTTTCCAGACTTTAGCCACTTCCCATTTCATCTATTATGATATTTCTAAGTTTCTGTAACTTGTAAATGTGATTTATAACTTGTAGGTTAACTGTTGGATAACTCGACCTCTCCCCTTGAGCTAAGCTTTCTGACAGCAAGGACCATGTCTGTTTGTCTTGCCACTGTGTCCCCAGTGCCTGATAATGAGTTGGGTATTAAAAAATAGTGGTTGAATGAATAGACCACTTTCTTAGATGACTCCCAAATTCATGCTGAATTGAAGTGAACCAGTAGTTGCTCTGAAACAAAAAGACGTAAGTGTACATTTGGTGAATTACCCCAAAGTGAACACACCCATGTATAACAACAGGAGTCACTCTTCCTCAAGTTACATTAAAACTCTGCCCTGATTTCTAACTCCATGGATTAGGTTTGCCTTTTTTTGAACTTTGCATAAACAAAAACATAGTATATTTTTCTGTGTCTAGCTTCTTGTACTCAAAAATATGTTTTTGGGAATTATTTATATTAAATGTAGCAGTAGTTCATTTTTATTACCTGAGAGTACTGGCAGTATGTTTATGTATTCTGCTGTTGGTGTTAAGTTCTTTCTTTGGGGAAATTAGTATGAATAATTCTGTGCACATTCCTATATGACTTTGTGCACATGTGCATGCATTTCTGTTGGGTATATATCTAGGAACGGAATGACCAGATCATATGCTTACGTATGGACAGCTTTAATAGTTACTGCTAAAACGTTTTTCAAAGTGATTGTACCAGTTTACACTCTCTCCAGTGGCTTTTGAGTTCCACATCCTCCGCAAAATTGGTGGTGTCAGTCTTTTTAACTTGACCCGTCCAGGGAATGTGTGGTGGTATATCAGTGTAATTTTGATAGTCATTTTCCTCTCGGGTATGGATCAACTTCTTTCAAATAAAGATTTCTATTTAGGCTTCTAAGTATTAGTTGACTTTTCTACTAGTTACTATTTTAGTTTCCACTAAGTGACCCCATTGAAAAGAAATTTATGACAGCATGTAAGCTGACTATCAAGTCTGTGGGGACTGTTTTTCTTTAATTATGTATTTAAATCCCCTGAACATTTCTACTTCATCAATTCTATAAATAATACCATAAAAGGGTATTTTCATGGAGTGGATTTATTATGTGATTTGATGCTAATTGCATCATTATTACTAAACTTGGTCTCTAGTCAGCGTAAACTGGTACCACTGGAGAGTTGGTTATACTAACTCTCGTAAATCTCTTGAGTTCATTTGGTAGATTATCCCTTAAGACCTCCAAATTAACTAATATGTGCTTCCTTAGAGATATGAATCTCTCTCTTAAGGGAAACACCTGAGTAATTGTAGCTCCCTTTTAAAATGAAGGTACGTAGAGGAAAATACACAGAAAGGAGAAAGGGACATGGGGATTATCTCTGGTAGTCAGATTTAGGAAAGACAGCATCTGGCTAAATGTTTGCTTTAGGCTTTTAATGAAATCTTAATTCAATAACTTTTTTTCTTTTTTGAGATGGAATCTTGCTCTGTCACCCAGGCTGGAGTGCAGTGGTGCAATCTCTGCTCACTGCAATCTCTGCCTCCCTGAGTTCAAGCGATTCTCCTGCTTCAGCCTCCCAAGTAGCTGGGACTTCAGATGCACACCACCATGCCTGGCTAATTTTTGTATTTTTAGTAGGGATGAGGTTTCACCACATTGGCCAGGCTGGTCTCAAACTCCTGACCTTAGGGTGATCTGATCCACCCACCTCGGCCTCCCAAAGTGTTAGGATTACAGGCGTGAGCCACCGTGCGTGGCCTTGATTCAATAACTTTAAATCATCAGTTTCCTGAAAGTGTTTATTAAGATTACTGGTGTATGTGTTTGTTTAGGCAAGGGTGCAGAGATAAAGAAAATGAAGGCTCCAGGTCCAGTTCTTAAATACTATGTTATTTAACTCTTTTATAGTTGACTGGCTCATTGACAGCTCATTATTATGGCTGGCCCTAGCTTAATTTTTAGTTCTCACAAAATACTCTTTTAGCTTATGCTTAAAGGAAAAGGTGCTATCTCCTGGCCTATTACAATTTTAAAAATTCATTTATGTACAACCCAACAATGTGACAGTGCCTTGTGAGTTTTACCTTAGAGAAGATAAATCTTGACCTAAATCTGGAGTAAGACTTTTATCCTGCTTGCATAAATTCTTAGACTCTGATGTGTAATAACGTTTACTTAGTAAGTTATCCAGGATCTCTGCAGATGTTTGATAATACCAAATAATAGATGACAGCGATCAGACTGCTCTGCAGTACGTTTCACTGTAATCATAGACTCGAAGCGCCATGTTGTTCCTGTACTTGTGAAAGTACTGAAATACAGGGCAGATTTAAATACAAATTATAAACCTTTTTACTAAGAGTATATGAACCCTGAGGGCAGCTTATCTAGTCCATAGCTTTAGGCAAAATTGAATTGAATCATATTAATCTCTTTTTTATATGTCCCAGTTTTAAAGACATCAGAGAAAATCATTACCAGGATTCTTCCTTTAACCTGATTCTTTCTCTGTTGGCAATAAGACTAACTTTGATTCTTCTGCCCTTGCATATGGGGATTAGCTCTCTCTGTATCATCTCTTGCCTTAATCTGTATTAGAAATGGTAATTCTAATACAGAATCATAAAATGCTTGAATAAAGAATGTCTTATGGAAAAGTTTATGGAAGGCAGGTGTTCTTTTCTTTAGTAATAAAAGGAAAGTAAAAATAAGATGTTAATGAGATAGAATAAAAATAGCATTGTTTTCCTCTGTACAGACAGGATTGTCAGATGTAATGGGAAACACTAAATATAATTGAGTATAACTAAATATAACTGAGGATAACTAAAGTTGATCAGTTATAGATTCCTCTCGTGAACTCAGTCTTCTATTTTTGATTTTTAAAAACATTTTTAAAGGGAATTTAAAATAGCACTGTTCCTGTAACTGTTTAGCATAATTTAGTTCTCAAGTTCTGATCAGCTAAACTCATTATTTTGTTACTTTATTGGATACCTGCTTGTTTAGTACCATCTTCTGACATCAAGAATTAACCATACATATGTGTATATCTGTATCCAATGTTTTAGATTACAGGAATGAAGAACTGTTGCCTAATTGGAAAGTGCCAGCATTCCAGACTTCAAAAAATAAATCTGAAGAGGCTTCTCCTGTTTTATATATTATGTGAAGAATTTAGATCTTATATTGGTTTGCACAAGTTCCCTGGAGAAAAAAATTGCTCTGTGTATATCTCTTGGAAAATAAGACAATAGTATTTCTCCTTTGCAATAGCAGTTATAACAGATGTGAAAATATACTTGACTCTAATATGATTATACAAAAGAGCATGGATGCATTTCAAATGTTAGATATTGCTACTATAATCAAATGATTTCATATTGACCTTTTTATCATGATCCTCCCTATCAAGCACTAAAAAGTTGAACCATTATACTTTATATCTGTAATGGTAATATGAAATGTCCCCTCAAACTCATTGCAGCAGATAACTTTTTTGAGTCATTGACTTCATTTTATATTTAAAAAATTATGGAATATCATCTGTCATATTCTAATTAAAATTGTTTGTGCATAACGCTTTGGAAAAATGGGTCTTTTATAGGAAAAAACCTGGGATAACTGATTTCTATGGCTTTCAAAGCTAAAATATATAATATACTAAACCAACTCTAATATTGCTTCTTGTGTTTTACTGTCAGATTAAATTACAGCTTTTATGGATGATTAAATTTTAGTACATTTTCATTTGGTTTGTGTGTTTTTGTTATTGTTTATAGATTTAAGGCCTTTATTTTATAATGACCACATTGTTTTACATGCGACAGTAGCTCCTTTCTGCTGAGTATCTGCAGAACACTGGCTTTAAACTAAGTAACTGGTGATTTCCCTAGGAACAGACCTTGCACTTTCTGTTCTGGGTATATTTATTCCTACTATACAGTAAAATACATCAGACAGCATAGAATAGTTTTGTATATTCTCTCTTGATCTTAAAGATTGTATCTTACTGAATAAAAATCCCACTGTATATTATTTTTATATGTAAAAAATAAGTTTAATACTGTATCAGGGTTTAACTTTTACTATTTCAGATCTTCCACAGCTTGAAATTTCAAGGGAATCCTTTTGCCATTGTTAACTTGTTGGGTGTGAGTCCACTGATGAAGTGTTATGTGAAAAATTTCAAACTTGCTTTATAATAGACTGAAGAATTTGAGAGAAAGTTAAAACACATAAGGAATGTGTTACTTTTGCTTCAACTATTTATGAAATAGTATGGTAGTAGTAATGTGGAAGAGATTGCCGAGTTAAATTTTTAGCTTCCTATATAGTGGTGCTTTTCTTTTTCTTCCCGATTATTTTCCTCTTTATGAAAGATAGGGCTTAAGAAGACATGGACCCAGGGTGATATTACTTATGTGATCTCTATAAAGAGAGGTAGAACAAAAGCTCGTTAGCCAGTTAAGTTCTGGAAAAGGAAAGAAGCAAGCTTAGGAAACCCTGTGCCTTGTGCCCAAATACTAAGGAGGTGACCAGTCCTAGAAAGTCGTAAGTCATTGCTCAGGGATCCCTAGATACTGTCTCTTTGCAACTAGGTATGAAGAAGTGTTCATGCCTTGCTGAGATTTTCCAGGCATGTGGTCAGCCTGTCATTTACTGAATTGAAATTTTAAAATCAGGTTTTAAATGTTAAGCTCTGACCAACCTGAGAACGTGTTAAAGTATTGTTTTGAAAAACTGGAAATTACTATTATTTTTAGTGTCTAATAAACTTAGTTATCTAACGCTATCCTTCTAGTGATCCAATGATGCATATGTCTGGGATTGAGGGGCCAGAACTATATGGTACATTTTAATGAAGCATTAGGGCCAGTTGTAAGGTCAGAGCGGCATCTTTTATTTTAAGTTCCTCTAAAGTCATTCTGCTTTAAAACACCCCTCAAACGTTTCTTTGAACTTAAAATCATAGACAAACTTCTCATCAACCAGTAAAACTTTCTAAATACTATCTTGTCCCATCTATTGTGTAGTTACTTGCCAGATTAAATAGAAGTCATTTAATAAGACCAACTCCAAGTCTCAGTCTGCTTGACTAGTAGCATAAACTCAGTGTCTTCTGTTTTAGAATGTGGTGGAGAAACATGACAGTTACAGATTCCTTTGTCACATCTTAAACAGTCCACTTGAGCTAAAGGTGGAACTTTCTAGCACACAGTGGTATGCAGGGCAGGACCAGCTGAAGTCAGATGTGCAAGAATACCTATGGTTGCTGAACAAGATGAAAAGGTACCCTGTTAGAAAGTGAGATAGGTGTGTTTTTATATTGTCCTGATGTGAGCTCCTTAGTCTTGGTTCCAAAAGGAAAGGTACCTGAAAATAAATGTATTTTTATAGCTGAAAAATAAAAAAGTTTCCAGGATATTGTATGAATGTCAAATGACAAATGTCTAGAAACTTCATTTAAGTATGTGTGGCTGTTTAAAATATAATGACTTTGGTTATATGAGTGACATAGAATTTAAGGAGGCTTGATGCCATAGTTCATAGTTTGCTTCAATGGCTTGGTGGTAATACCCCCAAGAGTCTGCTTTTAGAAATTAACAGTAAAAAATCCTGCTGTAATCTTACCCTCCACCAGGGGGAGCTTCAACATCAATTAATTTTTATTTTATTTATTTATTTGTTTTTTTGAGAGGGAGTCTCTCCCCAGTCGCTGAGGCTGGAGTACAATGGAGCAATCTTAGCTCACGGCAACTTCTGCCTCCCAGGTTCAAATGATTCTCCTACCTTAGCCTTCCGAGTAATCGGGATTGCAGGCATCTGCCACCACGCCCAGCTATTTTTTTGTATTTAGTAGAGATGGGGTTTTAACGTGTTGGCCAGGCTGGTCTCGAGCTCCTGACCTCATGATTCACCCACCTCAGCCTCCCAAAGTGTTAGGATTACAGGCATGAGCCACCACGCCCGGCCTGGTTAATACTTTGATCAGCATTGAAGTAGCTATTTAAGTCCTAATCCATAAACACTGTGTGGTTCACAAAGAGGCATAGAGATGCTCTCTCAAGAGTTTACAGTTTAATGGGGCAGGGAAGATACTACAATTCATCAAAGGTATGAATAACACTGTAGTTTTCTGAACTGTGGCTACACAGGTAATTCTCTTAAGAACTTTTGGTGAAATACGGCTGTTGGTGTGTTACTTTCTTCTCCCTACAACTTTGAACTAATCCATGTTTGGCACCTTAATTTGCCGTCATAAATGGCCACCATTTACTCCTCACTGAAACTATCTACTTTGAGTTTATAATGTGCTTGGAGAAGTTAATACTCAGAAAAAATACTGACCTTTATTACCAACTTTATTAAAACAGGCTTGGAGCATTTTTCTCCATTGAAGAATAGTAATAAGACATTCTACGTTTCCTAGACATGGCCAGTTTAAAATATTTCGCCACATTATCCTCGTAAATATGCATGTATGTCAGTTTATGTGGCTCAGTTTTGTCTTAGAGACTGAGGGACAGAAAGAGAAATAAGGAATACCGTGATATTTTCCTTTGTAAACAATCACAGCAGAATGTTAGAAAACATAAAATACACTCTTATAAATTGTATGTCTGTTGAAACCAAAGTGTAAAGAAATTGTCAGGTATTTGGAGGAGGAAAATAATTTGTAAAATAACCTTTTTAAAAATTTGGGTTTTGTACTTATTTAAGGTGCTAAATATGTGTTAAAATATCCCCCCTTGAATCAGCTCCAGGCTTAAAAGGGCAGAGTGGTTTGGATTCTTGTCCAGGGTCTGGAAAGAGCTCATCTTGCCAAGAGGGAAATGAATGTGAACTTTGAGGCAGTCTAACCACCCAGCTTTTAGTATTTATGTTTCCCAAAATGTAAAAACTGTAAGTTATTCTTGAAAATGTAGTTGAGACATGACTTTGATCATGGATTTTACTGCAGTTTCATCTTGGGTTTGTTGACTGTGCAGTCCGTTTACTGCCCTGTCTTGCTTAAATATTCTTGTTGAGAACAGCTGGAGGCTCTGACTAAGTTCATAGTTCTGTTTTCTGGGAAGGCAACATGGATTCTGTTTTATAGACATTAATGAGCTTTAAACGGGAATTGGGCGATGTAAGTTCTTTGGGCTTGTTGAGAAGCGGCCTCCTGTGGTTCTGGGCCCAAGGTGTGACATACATTTCCCCCTAATTGCTTCTCTCAAGAAGCAAGAGATTGGCTGTTCGTCTTGAGGAAAAACCTTAATAAACCTTCCCATTTTAAACAGTGGTGTGACTCTTATTTTGAGCTGTTTTCAATGAATTTTTTAAAAGCTTAACTATGTTCAGATTTTTGTGCTAAACGTTGTAGGGCATGCAAATCAGAACAGGACATGATCGATCCTTCTGGGCCTACCAACGAGCATTTGTCGCACTTCTGCTGCATGGCAAGTGCTGATCTGCTTGCTGGGGATACGACAATGAATAGTAGCAACCCGATTCAGATCCCTTTCATCGTGGAGTTTTTATCTTTAGAAAATGAAAAAAGACGCCGGGCACGGTGGCTCAAGCCTATAATCCCAGCACTTTGGGAGGCCGAGGCGGGTGGATCACGAGGTCAAGAGATCGAGACCATCCTGGTCAACATGGTGAAACCCCGTCTCTACTAAAAAAATACAAAAAATTAGCTGGGCATGGTGGCGTGTGCCTGTAATCCCAGCTACTCAGGAGGTTGAGGCAGGAGAATTGCCTGAACCCAGGAGGCGGAGGTTGCGGTGAGCCGAGATCGCGCCATTGCACTCCAACCTGGGTAACAAGAGTGAAACTCCATCTCAAAAAAAAAAAAAAAAAAGAAAATGAAAAAAGACAACTGTTGTGCCATTACACAGTGAGTTAAGTGGTGGACAGGGGCAAGAGTGCCAGGCAGAGGGAATGTGGTGGTAGCGGGTTAAAGGTTTATATCTCATTGAAGTTGGTATTTGAGTAAGTGTTTGAAGTGAGCAGCCCATGCAGCTGCCTGGGGGAAAGAAGGATTTTTTATTCCTCGGGGAAAGGGCCTGTGCCAATGCCATGAGGTGGACATGTGCCTGGTGTGTTGAAAACTAGCAAGGAGCTCAGTATGGGTGGAGCAGAGTGAGCAAGGGGGAGAACAGTAGTAAAAGAAAGGCAATGGGATTGGGTAAGGGGAAATTTCCCACAGCATTTACCCTGTGTTGAGTCCATGAAAAGGATTTCAGTCAAGGATATAATGTGATCAGACCCCTCAACCATAGTATGCCATTAGGAGTGCTCTGTTGAGCTGAGAATAGCCCGTATGGGAGCAAACATGAAGCGTGATACCAGATAGAAGGTGGAATCATGGGAGGAACGGTGATCTGGACCATAGTGGTAGCAGTGGAGTGGCTATAGGTGTATTTTGCAAGTGGAGCCAGCAGCATTTACTGACACATAAGAATATAATAGAAGACAAGGAAGAATCCAAGATTTGGGCCAATAATCAAGTGAAGATTGTGAGGGGAGTAGATTGGAAGGAGAATGAAGAATGGGCAGGAGTTCCACTCTGAACCTGCTATGTGTAAGAAGTGTGTTGCATTCCAGAGATTTATAGTAGGCATATGAGTTGGATATGAGTCCAATTCAGCAGAAGCAGTCTGGAGAGGACATTTAATATTTTAAAACGTGAAGCTATACAGGGTCACTAGGGTTGAGTGTAGATAGAAAAGAGGTCCCTGAGGAATTCTATCACGAGGTTGAGAGATGGAGAGGAATTAGCAGAGGAAAACTTGGAGGGTGCTGGTGACCCTGATGGACTGTCAGTGGAATGGTTGGGGACAGTGTCTGGAGTAGATATAGGGAAAAATGGGGGGGGCATTGGAGGCATCAAGCATGGATTACCCTATCAAGATGGGTGAAATAGTAGATGTTTCTGTGCTAATAGGGATGACCCATTGAGAAGGAAAACTGAGTAAGCAAAATGGGTGGAATCTAGTATAAAAATAAACCTGACTCAGGAGTGTAAGTGGGCATAGTTGCAGGAGAGAAATGGTATATAGGCAGAGAGAAGGTCACAAAGAAGGAAAGTAGTATGAGACGGGACGGATGCTTTCTGTTTTGGGTTGAAATTCCCCAGAGAGGGGAGTTTGAAGTAAGCCTTTAAGAAAGGGTGGGATTTTCAACAGGTGAGAGTAGGGAAGAATATTATAGGCAGATTTCAGGAAAAGGCAAGTGCAGAAAACAGAAATGAACAAGAAGTTATCTGGTTCCATTTGATGTTGGGAAATGTGGAAGGAGTACATAGGAAGAATAATACATTGGGGCCATGTCATGGCTGACCTTGAAACCAAGTTAACTAGCAGGTTGAGTTAAGTATCTAGGATGAAAATCACAGTTGTCAGGGTTATTTTCTGTGAATTCTGATGGTCCTTTCTTCATTTCTCACTTCATTTCCCCTCTTTCTCTAATGAAGATGACATCTAAGGCTCATGACTCCCAGACAAACGTTCCTTTAAGAAGGGAACCCTCATTAAATTATCTGACCCTCAAAGATGTTAAAGATTGAAAAATCTTCATTTTCTCACTTTGTATTTCTCTGTTTGACCTGACATGATTCTGTTCTTCTTGGACTCTTAGAGGACCTGGCTCCTACTGGGCAGGCAGAATGCTGGTATCCTCCCAGTTTTCCTCTCTACTCTTACTTCATGAACAGCATGAGACAGCAGCACCTCTGTTCTATCCTAGTGATCTACCATATTGTATTGGGAAGGCTTAGTGAGGACTCTTCCTTAATCCACCCC